CTCCGGACGAGGCTATAGCTGTGAGTACTGCGCATGCGCAGGGAGGATTTCACTTTGGGAAGCCGTTTCCAAAGCAACCGATGGGAGGAACCGTCCTTTATGACGTCAAGAGTTTGCGAAAGCGCATGCGCAACTGTCATAAGGCGCTCCGGACGAGGCTATAGCTGTGAGTACTGCGCATGCGCAGGGAGGATTTCCCTTTGGGAAGCCGTTTCCAAAACAACCGGTGGGGGGAACCGTCCTGTATGACGTCAAGGGTTGACGTCTCATGGCAACTTTAAGCCTTGTGGACTTCAACTCCCAGAGTTCTTCAGCCAATGAAGTTGGTTGAGGAATTCTGGGAGTTGAAGTCCACAAGGCTTAAAGTTGCCAATGTTGGAGACCCTTGGTCTACATTATAGATCGGGAGCTAAGGGGGCAATGCATTGTGGACATGAATGGGCCATGCAAGCTACGTCTCCTCCATCCTGTTGAAGAAATCGATCTAGATCTACAGATAGATTGAGTGTCTTTCTATTTATTTAAAAATACATCCCTTCCTAACGCGATTCCTGTATACTGTCTGTGCAACAAATATTTGCACCAGGAGCATTTTAAACGAAGCAAATCAGCTTCATTCCAGAAAGATATTATTCCGTGCTTTTTGTGGAATGCTGCTAATGTTCAAGCTTAGTCTTGCAGGAAATGGAAACAAGAATAAAGAAGCTTGGCTGTTGTGTTCTTTAATTCAGTGTTTTTCAACCTTGGCGACTTTAAGTCCTGTGGACTTCAACTCCCAGAATCCCCCAGCCAGCGAATGCTGGCTGGGGAATTCTGGGAGTTGAAGTCCGGACATCTTCAAGTTGACAAGGTTGGGAAACACTGCTCTAGGGATACTATGGAATATGCTTGCAATTATTCAATACCAGCATGCACGAGAACTGAAACTTAACCGGAGGGAAGCGAAAGGAAGGACCAGCGTTTCCTACCTTTAAAAATAGGACACGAGGACGCGGACCCCAGGGAATCCCTCCTTTTATTACCGCTTCCAGAAACCGGGGACTCCGCAGTTTTATTGACGCTTAAGGTCCCGGCAGCCCCGCTACTCATTTCACCCAAAGCCTCCCAAAGGAGCGAGTTCCTCCTTACGAAAGCGCATGCGCAACTGTCATAAGACCTCTCCGGGCGAGGCTCTAGATGTGAGCACTGCGCATGTGCAAGGGAGGCTTTCGCTTTGTGTAAGCCGTTTCCAAAACAACCGGTGGGGGAGAAACCGTCCTCTATGACGTCAAGAGTTTGCGAAAGCGCATGCGCAACTGTCATAAGGCGCTCCGGACGAGGCTATAGCTGTGAGTACTGCGCATGCGCAGGGAGGATTTCACTTTGGGAAGCCGTTTCCAAAACAACCGATGGGAGAAACCGTCCTCTATGACGTCAAGAGTTTGCGAAAGCGCATGCGCAACTGTCATAAGGCGCTCCGGACGAGGCTATAGCTGTGAGTACTGCGCATGCGCAGGGAGGATTTCACTTTGGGAAGCCGTTTCCAAAACAACCGATGGGAGAAACCGTCCTCTATGACGTCAAGCGTCTACGAAAGCGCACGCGCAACTGTCATAAGGTTCTCTGGACGAGGCTATAGTTGTGAGTAATGCGCACGCGCAGGGAGGATTTCACTTTGGGAAGCCGTTTCCAAAG